ATCCTCTTCGGTTCAAATGTTTAGAATCCGAAGGTATTACTTTTCTGCTCTGATCAATATGATCTGAGCTCGAAAAGTAACTTACTGAGAATAGCATGATCGTATTTATACACAAATATATATACATGCCGAGGTACTATTTTTTGATATATCAGTCGTTAGACTGTATATTTAGAGAAAAATAGCAGTCGTCGACTGACGTAATTTGTCTTTTTGTCAGCATGCTCGGTTGTAGCGGCTGAACAAGCTGAATACACAGCCCTGCAATTGTTTAAGAATCGAGCAACCGTACATCAAAAGGCGCATGCCGCTGTGTTAAAACCGAAATTCGAAGTCCTTCATATGAAAGAGAAAAATATGAAGGTGTTAGCTAAATAGGTCGAGTTCATTACCGAATCGACGAACAAGCCCTGTCCCCTGCGCAACTAGACAATGCACATCGAGACATGAGGACATTAGTTCTAGATTTTCAAAAGGAGGCAGTTCAGCTCATCCTTCAAACTGGCACTAAAGAATGCGACAATGTCAGAATTAAAGTGACGAAACTCATTGATGGCATACCAGAAGGGGAGACGGACTGCGTTGAAGGTAGTGAGGAGGACGCTCAGGTGCAAGAGGATGGATCGTTTTGAGCACTCTTCAACAACTGTCTGGAAGCACGAGCTATCCGACTCAATAAAACCTTGGAGTGATTGTTAGACTATAGGCTCTTTGGCACAGGCTGAAACCGACTTCTTTCTGTCTCTTTTATGTCTTTCAGCGAACAGTTTCTTTCCGCGATAGCCAGTCATTCAGTGCGAACAAAAAGAGTCCATGACACAAACACGCACAGGTAAATATTACACATTTATATTCTGTTACATTATTATGCTTTATATGGTCGACCAAACGAAGCTAAAAAGTCATAAGCATTTTGCCCACCCCTGTTGTTTTTTGAAAAAGGTAATAGTAGAAAGTAAAAATTCATGTACTACTTTTTATCAGATACGTTCTGTAACAGCGCCATTTAACGATAAATGTCTGACTGATAATGTGCCGAAACATACATGTAGAAAAGTCGAATTACATAGCACACAAACCAAACTGTTTTAGAAAAAAAGAGAACTAAATGCTTTGTCAGCTTGTGCAAGTTGTTTTAACCAATGGAGTAGATTTGCGAAGAGTACAATCCCTTTTCAACAGATGTATTAATTACACACCTGATCTTCATAAATGGCAAGAATAATTAGTGACACACTAATCTGTTCCTGTGGTTGATCCATTGTAAATGGATTTATTTCTGAAATTATGGCATAAATGGCTATCATGTCGTTCTGCAATATTATTGATTGTATTTATTAGTCTTTTCTCAGACAATATGGAAAGTCCATGGAAAGTTCTTCCATGGACATTACTTCATCGATCATTTCGATCAGATACAAATGTGTATCATCTATTTTATTTAACTGATGCACGAGATAAAATGAGAATCTGATTTATTATAATAGAAGGCATATTCGGTCTGAAGATCCCCGTTTTTATGAGTTCATATTTCTTCTTACTTTCTTCAGTTTTAATTCGAGCGTTATGATCATACTTTTGTATAGAATATAGTTCGGATGTTTGGTATTTGGCACGAGCTCTAAAGCACGTTTATAGAATAATAATGCAAGCAGATAATTGTCCGCACCTTGTTCATAAATGAAACCAATATTTTTGAAAACTGTTCCAAGTTCAGAATGTTTGCTGCAAATATGGTACAATGATACTGATTTCAAATAGTTCTTCATAGCTATTTTTTTACCATACAGCTCTTTTTCGAATATTTGCGTCAAAACTTTCATAAAAGAAACAAACTATATTTAAAATGCATAAGTGACCAACTGAGTTTTCACCGAAAAATTTGTGCTGAGTGCACATCGATTGATAAGGACGTCGCTTTAATATTTGTCATAGGTACGTCTGTTGCTGCTCTCTTTGAAATAAGTACTGATATTACTACATCTGACAAAAATAGACGCACTAATCCGGTCTATGTTAACCCATTCAGTTACTTTTTGGACGAAGACGAAGTCATATTTCCTGTTGGTTCAACATTCATAGTACATTCGACATTGGAAGACGATGAACGACGGCACATCAAACTCAAACCAACTAATCCTAATGATGATGATGATCAACTTCTTGACTACATACAAACAAATTATATCAACAAACTTCCATCAACAGCAAAATTTGCTGATCTACTTGTTTTTATGGGTGAATATGAAAAAGCTGAACGATATATTGAAATGTTGATTGAAGAATTGCGATTATCGTCTGATAATATTATTATAGGATATGCTTACGATATCATGGGCCATCTTTGCTCTGAAAGAGTTGCTTATCAATGTGCATTGTCTTGGTTTGAAAAGGCACTACAGTGTATTCAGCCAGACAACATTTATCGTGCAATTATATACTTTCACATTGGAACTGCGTATTCCTCGAAATATGAGGACAATACCGCTCTCGACTATTACAATAAAGCATTGAATTACGAACAAGAAATTAATTCTTTTGATCTCGCCAGTTTATATGAAGCATTCAGTAGTGTTTGTTGTCACATGGGAAATCTCGATGATGCTCTTGATTATTTAAACAGAGCATTGGATATACATGGGTCGAATCCATCTAATCAATATGCGCATGCTCAAACATATATTTCCATGGCCTTAATGTATGAGGCAAAATTAGATCAAAACAAAGCTTTACAATCCTATCAATGTGTACTTAATATTTTATTAGAGAGAGTCCCAAAAAATCATCCACGTTTAGCTTTAATGTACGCAAAAGTTGGAGAAATACATTCGAAATGTGGTAGCGTTAGCTATGGTCTGTTGTCCAAAAGCGCTAAGCATCAAGAAAATAATTTGGCATGACCAAGTTTTAAATCAGAATTTCAATCCAACTCAATATATTTTTCTTTGTATTAGTCTTCAAAATCTGTACAAATTCGTTTATGCTGAGCGTGAAACAAATCCATTACTTTGCAAAAGAAGCGCTTGACGTCTATACTGAATTCGAACCTATGATACCAAGAACACATCCAATAGGAAAGGTTATGTATAATAGTTTGGCACTAGGCTATTATGGAATTGTTGATTACAATTCTGCACTGAAATATTACAATGAAGCTTTTAATCTTTCGGGAACATCAACTATTCAAATGATTGTACTCATAAATATGGCAATAATTCATTTCGATAGAGGCGATGCGGAAACTGCTTTGAACTACTTACATGATGCACGTGAACTTAGCGCAAAAATGAATTCGTCTGTAACTGATTACAACATACTAACACGTATTAATTTTCAAATTTCGAGGATATACAAACTTGAAAATAATCTCGAGAAAGCAATATTTTTCGCTGAAGAAAACTTACAATTACAACTTAATACAGTTAGTCCAACTTTGGCTGATATTGTTAACAGTTATGTATGGATCGCTGATCTATGTCCTGATAAAATTGAAATGTGCTACGAAAAGCTAGCGATATTCTGCTCAAATATCTATTGTCGGCTAATACTGAAATTTGTCATAATCTGATTGGATTATATTATAAAAAACAAAGTAATTTATCAAAAGCATTGTTCCATTTACAATTAGCATTGAAACAACTAGTAACAATTTATCCACTGTGTTATATTAACCTGATAGAAGTCTATGCAAACATAGGCAAAATTTATTATGAAAGGGAACCGGAAGATTTCGATCGTGCATTCTTCTACCTTGAGGCTAGTCGTGATATCTATTTTCAATTATTAAATATGAAAGAGATATTATCGAAAGATAAAGCGAAATTGCGATGGATATATTTCTATTGATCTTAAGCAAAGATCTCACACAAATGATCTTGATGATTCATTATTCAATTGCATTGATTTATTCAAAAAAAGAAAATTATGAACAGGTATTGAAACATTATTTCAAAGCAGAAGAAATACACAATGGATATACAAGAGAAACAAAACTGATAGAGCGAAATACAATGTATAATATCATGGAAATCATATGTGTTTGCATTCAAAATTTCGATCAAGCACTATTATGAGAAAAGTGTCGAGGATAAATCTGATGATTCTGATGCGTACGGTATGCGTTATCTTGAAATAGCTGGCATCTATCAAAAAAAGAATAATTATGAAATGGCCATATCGAAATATAAAATATCATTAACACTTTTACACAATTTAAAATCGATGGATCATTACAAACTGGTTGTTGCATATATGGGCGTAGCGGCATCATATGAAATGACGAAAAATTATAAAAATGCTGTGATTTATCAACAGCAAGCGATCAGTCATCAATTATTAACCAATCCGATAGACTATAAGTTGCTTGCCATATATTATGTAGCCTATGCGCTTTATATCGGCTTGTTAAAACCGATATAATAATGAAGAAACGCTAAACTACTATCTAAGAGCGATTGTCGTCGGCAATAATCTTCTGGAAATTTTTTTTCTAGAAATGACCTTTTCTTTAATCGGTATTTGCCATTTTCACAGTGGTGAATATGAAACAGCTCAAAAATATTACAACAAAGCACTCGAACATTCAAAAACATCAAATACCATTTCACTATTCATTTATGCCAATTTTCGAACACTTTATTTAGTAGCTGGGGAACTAGACAAAGCATATGCATATGCAAAGAAGACCATTGATAGTGAGCTCAGTGTGGCAACAATCGATTTTACTGATATTTCATATTCATACATATTCACTATCAACTTGGCACATACAAACGAGCTATCAAGTTTTATAGAATAGCTTATTACATTCTCGAAATACTTCAGCGTGATAAAACATGTAAGAACTACATTTCTATTTATACGTATCTATTATGAATATGGTCAATTAACAGATGCACTACACTATTGTGTAAAAGCTAGAGAAATTTATTTCTCAAATGAAAATGATCCGTTTTTGCTTGCAAACCTCAATATTAATTTGGGATTAATTCAATGCAAATTAGAACACTATTATGTTGCGTTGAACCATTTCGGACATGCATTCAGGTTCATATACAACAGAACACATAAATACCATCATTTATATAAAATTTTGTATAATTACATTGGTTATGTCTATTTTAAACTTGGGGAAATGAAAATAGCTATGAAGAACTATTTGAAATCAGTATCATTGTACCATATTTGCAGCAAACATTCTGAACTTGGAACAGTTTTCAAAAATATTGGTTTCATTTATGAACAAGGTGCGGACAATTATCTGCTTGCATTATTATTCTATAAACGTGCTTTAGAGCTCGTGCCAAATACCAAACATCCGAACTATATTCTATACAAAAGTATGATCATAACGCTCGAATTAAAACTGAAGAAAGTAAGAAGAAATATGAACTCATAAAAACGGGGATCTTCAGACCGAATATGCCTTCTATTATAATAAATCAGATTCTCATTTTATCTCGTGCATCAGTTAAATAAAATAGATGATACACATTTGTATCTGATCGAAATGATCGATGAAGTAATGTCCATGGAAGAACTTTCCCGTGGACGGGTGGCCCAGAATAAATCAGCCTCTCAGTATTTCCTTAATAACTTTTTCATTTGTGCGTCTCAAGGCTTGGATTTTTCTAAAAGATCCACCGTTTAATTCTCGACAAGACGGGTATGAAAAGCTTCTTGGAAGCAAATGAAGCAGAACCAAAAAAAGAATGTGTTCAAAACGTACAAAGCGGCCCACTTTCAAGCACCGAAAACCCGTTTTCCATACTTTTTGGTTGATTAGTAACGATAAAAGAACTAATAGACAGAACCAAAAATGATCAAGGAGATGTCAAAGGCGTTACTTAAAACTTGCGGTGTTCACGAAGGGGAGAGGATTCAGGAGGGATTCAGGATCAAGAGTCCTTGATGTACTATTAACCGTGCACGGACATCCTTTTAAAAACCGATTCATTTATTTTCTCTTTTTCTCTTTTATGTAATGATAAACTTTCATGTAACGTTACATGGTGACCATTGATCTATCACCGAGTTTTTCATCGCGACTGCTTGTTGTTATACATAACATGTGTAATGGGTTTTAAAAAGGGTCTCCGTGCACGGTTAATGGTACATCAAGGACTCTTGGTATGTGTCCTCTGTTTAAAAATAAAAGTCTCATTTACCCTTTTCTATTATGTAGACAATATTCTTTGTAGTCAGCTTAAAATTACTTAAAAATATGGGAGCAATCTAATAATGACATGATATAAAGAAAGGGGAAATGGAAAAAACAAGAATGGAGAAAAATTGAGGAAAGAAGATACTGCTCTCGTTGAAGACTACAGGAAGACTGCTTCTTCTCAAAAGACAACAACGCTTCCTTGCAGTAGAAGCACGTTGATACAGTACTTGTCAAAAGTACCGACCCCCCTGTAACTCAAGAACCATGATAGCTAGAGACTTCTAATTTTGTGTGGGCATAGCTCTTATCGAATGCTGATCACGCACCAAGTTCGGACCACTTTTACTAGATAGTTCGTGAGATATAAGCGATTTATCTCTTTTTCGTACAATATCAATAGCCCCTGACCTAAGAGAGATGAAAACTTTTTCTTTCTACTAAAATGTAGCCACGACTCTACTCTATCTGCAGCATAATATTTTGTAAGTTCGTGTTAGTAATCAGCGAAATACAGCTATTTTACGGGCGGGGCCCCTGAAAATGAGGTTCTGAGATATGAGGT